TACAACCTAGTAGGGAATCAGGCTGTACACATAAGGAAGCAAAATGGGTGACAGAAGGTGGAAAGTAGCATATAGATAGTGAGGTGACCCAGGCTCAGAAAGACAAATAAAATCCTCTCTCACATACAGATTGTAGCTTTTAATGTCTATACGTACAAATGCATGTATGCATGTGGGTATAGCCTATGAAACTAGAAAAGAGATCACAAGAAGGGAAAAGGGGTTCTGGTGAAGGGCGGATGAACAATAGGACATACCTAATATGAAAACAGAAAGGAGACTTCTGGGGGGAAAGGGTAGAAAAGGGTACAAGGGGTAGGCAAAGAGAAAGAAAAGAATAATTCAAACAAATTCAGTTTTAAAATTCCATAATGGAACCTAATACTTTGTATGCTAATTTAAAATTTTAATTAATTAGTTAATATAGAGGGTATAAAAGGCATAAGAACCAGAAATGAGATGTGGCACGTCTCAGTTAATCAAGACACATTCCTCAGAATGTGACATCTGAACAAAGAAATGATGTTCAGAGAGTCCACAGATACCAGGACAAGGGGAAATGATCAGTGTAAAGGTCTTCAGATGAAAGTGTGTATGGTATATTTGATGAACAGGAGGAGGCCAATAAAATAGCAGAGTAAGCAAGGGAGAGAACAGCTGGCAGGAGACCTGAGAGGCGGTGAAGCCAGAACCAGTGAAGTCTCGGAAACAGATGGCTTTGGCTTTTATTGAGTGGAAGGAATATCCATTCAAAGCATTCTTCCTGGTAGAGAAGACATATGCACTCAAAATATATTTAAAGAGAAAGTGAAGTTTTGTTTATAAAAGCTACAGTTGGCAAAAGTTAGGTACTGTCCATAGAAATTGTGTGGTCATGTTCCAAGTCATCACAACACCACAGGGAACAAGGATGGTGGGCATAAAGTGGGCCAGTGCCAGCCAGCCAAGACGGACAGTACCTGAAAGGGGGAGTGAGGATTGAAAGAAAAAACAAGAGACAGAAAAGATACTTCGGAGGACTATCAGTAGAGACTGCAGCCCGGGTTTATTTTAGCTCCACCTTTTCATACAGTAGAACATCAGAGATAGCCACCATTTGCTTAGCTCAATTAGTTTCAACAGCTGTTTCTCCCACCTGTATCTGAGGGTCAAGGAGTGGTCAAATACTTGTTGTGAACTCCACCATATAAACACATTCCTCCTGACTTGGCAGATTAGGTACTAGTGTGCAAAACACAAACTCAGTAAACAAGCAAGCCTGCCACAGCTCAATGTACATAATGACTGTGCTTATATCAATAGCTCCCAACAAAAGTGTATGTCCCAATTCACTCAAAACCAGGGGGATGGTTAGCTTTGTCAACTTAACACAACCTAGAATCCCCCGGGAAGCAACTCTCAGTGGGGGATTGTCTACATTGGGTCACCCTGTGGACATGTCTGGGGGAGGAGTTGATTTAATTAATTGATGTGGGAAGACCAAACCCACTGTGGGCAGCACCATTCCCTGCACAGAGAGTCCTGGGCTGTAGAAGAGTGGAGAAATGGAGCTGAGCCTCAGCAAACAACTCTGCGTGCAGGCATTCATTTCCCTCCACTCTTGGCTGGTGGATGGGATGTGACTCGCCCTTTGAAATCCCTGCCTTGACTTCTCTGTAATGATGGACTGGAACTTGGAATTGTGTACTAAAAGTCAACTCTTTCTCCCCGAAAGTTTGTTTTGTCCGGATATTTTAACATAGCTACAGAAATGAAGCTAGGACAACCACCATAAGTCCACCTGCAATTTTGTTGAGCAAATGGTCAGGGCTATTCAAGTAAAAAAGAAGGCAAATAGGGATCAAAGATGTAACTTCCCCTCATCAAGGATGACAATGGGAAATTTATAGTAAGATTATAGAACAGATGCTCTTGGAGAGCAGAATAGCTTGTGAAAACCAAATAGTAGGTCTTCCTATGAGAGGCAGCACTGGCTAAAACAAGACCAGCAGTTCTCAAAAGCTGCATCTAAAGGGTGATGTGTGCACCAGGATGTGCAATGATAACTGTTCAGAGGGAAGGTTCGTGGCTTTCATGAGCCTCAATGCATTTCAGCAATATAATTGTGTCAGTATATTCAGGAAGCTGTACTTTTTAATTTTAATTCGATTTAATTTTATTCATTACCCTATTTATTGATGAAATAAACACAGAATCTTCTGTAATTATAGTCTTCCTAGATAGATAAGATATAAATATAAACTTGAGAAGAAATTAACTATAAATCTGTTATTGAGCTTTGGACCAATATAACAACTGTTCCTTCTCAGAAATCTGTGTTTACTTAGGACAAGAGAAGGTGTGATAACAGTTACAAAGAAGTAAAAGATTTATCCCTTATCTTTGGAGAAATACCTCTTAACTCCACCCCACCCAACCCCCCACCTCCAGCAAGAAAATCGTTACAGACCAGCAACTTAAAAACAATGTAAATAAATATAAAACCGAATAATAAAGTGTGCTTTGTATATTAAAAGGAAAGAGAAATTTACAAGGGAAAAAAATAAATCAATTTGACCAGCATAACAAAACAACTTGGAACAGATGTCCCTGAGCTGAGCCAGAAGGACAGAGCTCTAGAGTCAGTCTGCTGCTGTTAAATTCTTGTCATCCATCCCTTAGTTACTGTGTGCCCTGGGAAGCTGATTTCTATATGTCTCTATGTCTCCAGCTAGTTGTTGGCAGATAAATTCAAAATGTTTAGGGCATTGCCAAGCACATAATTAATATTCTATAAATAATGTTTCCACTGATTCCTTTTCTCATGACTGAAATTATCGAGGCAGGGAATTGTTCTACTTTAACAAGGTAGTCACAGAGGTCCCAGTCAAAGCATTCTTTTTCAAGCTAAAAGACTTTTAGGGACTGCTAAGGGGTGCATTAGTGGCTTTACTTTCTAAATAATTTTCCATGGGCCACTCAGGAATCCTCCCCAAATACTCAAGACTTTAAAAATGTTTTTTATGGGCTGGAGAGATGGCTCAGCAGTTAAGAGCACTGACTGCTCTTGCAGAGGACCCGGGTTCAATTCCCAGCACCCACATGGCGGCTACAAACTGTCCTTAACTCCAGTTTCAGAGAACTCCAAAGCCCTTTTCTGACCTCTGCAGCACTGCGCAACATGGGTGCACTCACATACATGCAGGCAATACTCTCATACACAAAATAAAAATAAATAAATAAAATATTTTTAAATGTTTTTATTAAATGTATTTATTTATTGTGTTATGCAATTAAATAAATAATACACCATGGCACATATGTGGAGGTCAGAGAGCAACTTGCATGAGTCAGTTCTCTCCTTCCAACATATGGGTTCTGGGTATCACACTAAAGTCAGGCTTGGCAACCAGTAGGCTTACCCACTGAGCCATCTCACCAGCCCCTCAAACAAGGCTTTTTACTGAGACCCTTGCTTTCCAGTTGTTCTAATGTGTATCAACATGTTCACAGCCTACCTCACGCTCAGGTGAGTGCCTAAATGATTCTTATGGATCCTGACAGTAAGTACACAGGAACAGCTATTGGTGGAATGTTTCACAGACAAGAAATAAAGAAGTCATTCTAAAATGCCTGTTTTTGTTGCTGTTGTTTTCTTCTTCTTCTTTCTCTTTACAGGCAGTCCAGGTCATAATTGGATTGCTGCACATTGGTTTTGGAATTATTTTGGGCTTGTTAAGCTCCAATTTTGATGTGACTTCGAGGTTTGCCTCTATTGCTTTTGTTGGTGGATATCCATTCTGGGGTGGAATCAGTGTGAGTAGACTCCTAGGATGCACTCCCTGTAAGGAAACAGCCTGCTCACAGCTCAGGTCTTAGTGCACACTCTGCCTGAGGGCTGGAGAATTTCTAGAAAAAAACAGGTCTGATTGAGCAAAAGAAAGGAGGAACTTCTGCTCTCCACTTCTATCGTGCAGCTTGAACCCATTCCCTAGTATTTACTCTGGTCAAGAAATATACGAGTCAGGAAAGGAGGTGATCAGAAACATGATCACAAGCATGCCCTTGACAAAGCAATGAGATTGTGCAGGAAGTTCAGCATCATCCAAGCAAGCTCGATAGTCATCAGTAACAGGAGCTCTTTAGTGCAAGAAACTAAGAGGGAAAGGATAAACCTAGGAGTTGCTCTAGAAAACCCAGGCATATGAGAGGGAAACCAAATGAACATAGACAGACCAACCTGGGTATAAGATGCTCCCAGGCACAATCCAAGAACCCACCATTCACGAATGTGTCTGTTTCTGTAGTTCATTGTTTCTGGCGTGCTCTCCATAGCAGCGTCCAAGGAATTCTCTCCTTGTCAGGTAAGTTAGACCATTTCTACCTTTTAAATCCCTTTAAAGATTAGTTTGGTTTATTAGGAAGGAAAAATTGAGATGGTAGATTCAGAAGATGTGGATGGAAGCACTTTCTCAAAGTAGCTGTGAGCTGCTGGGTGGTGCCAGTGCTGGGGGAGGGATGTGGCCCGTACATCTTGACACTCAAAAGGGCAGAGCTCCACATTCTGACTCTTGAATGCACAAGGGTGGGAGGTAGTAAAGATAAGGGTTAAGTTTTAACCCAACAGCTCTCTGGTTCAATAGCGTTGCACTGCGTTCAGGGAAGCCCAAAGAAGAATCCAGGGACCACGAAACACCTACATGCCTCTTCAATAACAAAGTCCCTGATGTTAGCAGCCATTTCTTAGCTCTGTCTTGCATTTCCACTTCACATTTGTGCATAATTTCTGTTCTTATTCGGATGCATTTTTGTGTACAGTCCTTCAAATTTCCATAAAAGCATCTAGCTCAGAACATGAGAGCACACAGAAGTGGTCACAGAGACGGGGCTCTCAGTTCTCCTAGTCATACACAATTTCCTGGTTTAAAGACAAACCAGAACAAGGAAATTTTTGCCCTAAACTTACAGCAGAAGTCATTTCAAGATTATATGTAATTACTCACAAGAGGGAAAAATGGGGAAATGGGAATAAGGAATCATGTTGTGTTCTTGCAGATAAAATGGAAATAATAAGGTAAAACCAGATTGAGTGAAAATCAACCTAATTCCAATTAGCCGTCCCTATTTTAATCCAGAAACAAAATAAAGTATTCTTCTCTGTACAGGTCCTTCCCTCTGAGGTTGTACATGAAAAGACTCAGTTTTGGGTCAGGACAACCAAGGCAATTTTAGGACCTGTGTAAGATCCTTTTAGAGGTCTTCAGGGGGCTCCAAGCATGTGGAAGGAATCAGGCATTCCACAGACTCTTTTGGCTCCATGGCGAGTCAGCTGAAAATGTGTTTGCATGATTATTCTGCCATGTGTCCTACTCTAATTGTAAAAACTCTACCCACAGGAGCTGGAGTAGTTTCTCCTTCTAAATTTAGACTTCTTTGCCTAGTGTGTAGAAAGCCTTCAGGGCTTCCATTCATTCTTATGTCTACAAACAAAATTCATTGTGTGTACACATTCACAAATGTAGATGAGAACAACCAAGTCAGATACCAGATCCTCTCCTGTATGGCAGAAGTGACATGCATTTTAAAAACACAACAAAACACCCATCATAGAATAACACTCATTAAGTTTGTTCTTTCATTGTTTTGACAAAGTAGAGTTGCTCTTATGAACAAGGATTTTACATAATTATAATGGATGGGCTTCTGCTTTTACTATATGTATATAATTTATATATTCCTATTATTTATATCATTTGCAACTCTTTAGGAGAACCTGACATCTAGGCTACAAACAGAGTGATTTTCATGGCAATGACTCACAAGGACAGAAGAAAGCAATTATTTCAACTTCAAAAATTATTTGAAACTGGGCGTATATCTCAGTAGTACAGCACTTGTCTATCATGCACCAGGCCTGGGTTCAATCCAAAATAATTTCAAGGTGTCAATGATAAGGAACCTTTGATTCCTCTTTCATTTAGCTTCATTTATCCTCCCTTTGATTTGTGTTTCTTGTTGTCTCCGTTAGATAAAAGGCACCTTGGGAATGAACATTGTTAGTGCCATCTTTGTGCTTGCAGGAGTGATTCTGTTGCTGTTTGATATGAGCATCAACAGCCTTTCAAGTCAAGACTACTGGGCTGTGGTAAGAATCCTACCATCTACCACAGGATTGCCCTCTCCTATCATCAAATGCTGATTTCAGAAGAATGCAAATTTATTTTGATTTTTCTATGTCTTTTTGCTGTTGTTAATTTCCTTTCTATTCTTACTTTATTTTAAAGTTTTACAAAAACAAATGACCAAATCTGCCCCCGTACTCCATTCTCTACCCACAACTATTCACTTCCAACTTCATGTGTTCTTTTTTAAAAAAAAAAAAAAACAAAAACTACTGAGTCCAATTAGTGCTGCCAGTGTTTACATGGGTGTAGAGCTATCATAGGCATGGGTGTAGAGCCATCATGTGCAATGGCATAGAGCCATCTACTGGAGAAGGGGTAGCCTCTTAAGGGCCACATCCCTGAAGAAAACTCATTCTTCCACTCCCAACAGCCATCAACTGCATATGGCTCCTCAGAAGTGGGACTTCGTGACTCCATTCCTCATCCATGTTTGGGTTTTGTCTGGCTTGGTCTTATACAGGTCTTATGCACACAGTCATGGTGGTTGTGAGCTTATGTGTGCAGTGGCCCTGTCATGTCCAACAAATACTGTTTCACAATGTCCACTGCCTCTGGTTCTCAAAATCTTTCTGCCCCTTCTTCCATGATGATCTCTGAGCCTTGAGAGGAAGGGGTATGATAAAGATGTGGCTGAGCACTTCACTATTACTTATTCTCTGCCTTTTAACAAGTTATGAGTGTTAATCACCATCTACTATAAAAGGAAAATTTCTGATGAGGGTTGAGAGATGCACTAATCTATGAGTATAAAGGTAAGTACTTAGGGGCAGTCTAATACTCTGGTTCATTTAACAGAGAAATAGAGATACATTCTCCCCTGAGGCCTATGATCTACTCTATGGGTTCTTGAATGGGTAACAATATCAGATATGGGTATCACCTTCTGGAGTAGGCCTTAAATCCATCAGAAAATGCTTGGTTACACCCATAACATTCAGGACACTTTTGCACCAGTGGGCATATCTTGACAGCCAGCCATTATTGTAGCTCTCAGAGCCCACAGTTGGATAAGATTGACAATTGCTTTTCTCCCCTTCCAGCACTAAGAAAGCCAGTAGGGATACAACTTTCAGGTCTCAGTACCAGCTTAATTTTTCCATGTTCTATGACTCAAGTATGTGGTATCTTCTGTGATAGTCTTACTACCAAGTTCTGGAGGGTAACTGAGAGTAACAGCAATAATCCAGTAATGTGTAGGGGTCTATTGGTCCCCCACTGAAAACAACTTGAAAAGTGGTAACCCATACCTGGCATTGGACTTTTTATTTGATAGCCTTCTGGGAGAGGCATTGTCCCCATAATACTGAGTAACTGCATTTAAATTCTTTTATATATGTATATATTTTAGAAAGATTCTCCAGTAGTAGGTTTTCATATGACATTTTAAAGGCCTTTGGTGTTAGTCATCCTTCCCCATGCTCCCTCTTCTACCCTCCTTCTGTTCATATCCACTTAACCTTTCATTCTCCATCATTCCCCTTTCCTGCCACTTGCACGCTGTAACCACCCCCCCCCCGAAATCCACCTCCATGTCTTCTATTGGCATTCCAATTTAAACACACATATCTAAAGAGTCAAAGCTAGCATCCAGACATGAGAGAGAATATGCAGTGCATGTCTTTCTGGTCTGAGTGACGTCACTCAGTGACTATTTCTGACTCCATCCATTTGCCTGTGAATTTTAGAATTTAGTTTATCTTTACAGCTGAATAAAATTACATTATGTACGTGTACCACATTTTCATTATCCATTCATCAGCTGATGGACAACTAGGCTGTTTCCCTTTCTAGTAATTGTGAATAAAGCAAAGATGAACATGGATGAGGAAGTAGCTCTGTAGTAGGGTATAGAGTTCCTTGGATATTTGACCAGAAGTGGTATAACTTGATTATCTGGTAGATCTATTTAAATTTTGGAGGAACAACCACACAGATTTCTAGTGACTGCAAACTGCTTTCCCACTTGCATTCCCATCCGCAGTAAATAAGTGTTCCCCTTTCCCAACATCCATACTACCATTTTTTTTTTATCTTAGCTATTCTGACCAGTGTAAAGTAGTTTTGATTTGCATTTTCCTGATAGTGGAGGATATTGAATAGTTTTTCAAATATTTTTCAGTTATTTCTCAGAATTTGTGAATTCTCTGTTTAGTTCCATGCCCCTATTTTTTATTGGTTTTCTTGGTATTTAGATTTTCAGTTCCTTGTATGTCTTACACATTAATCTTCTGTCAGATGTATAACTGGTAAAGACATTTCACCATTCATTAAGCTGCCTCTTCACAGAGTTGGTGGTGTCCTTTGCTTTCTATCTTCACAAGGTCCCATTTGTCAATTGTTGGTCTTAATTCCTACACTACTAGAGACCTATTCAGGAAATCCCTTCCTGGGTCACATGCTTCCTCGATAGCCACACCTTCTAAAACCTCAAAACACAGCACCACCATCTGGGGACAAAATGTCCAAATACTTGGAGCCTATAGGGGACATTTTCATTCAAACCATCACACAAATCCATAATTGTACAAGATCAGTTACCTATCAAATAGAGCCCAGGCCCCCTGCCCAGGGATGATACCAGCTAGTGTGATGGGCCCTCCTGCATCAATTAGTAATTAAGAAAATACCCCACAGACAGGCCCAAAGGCCAAAATATTTGAGTAATTCTTCAGTTTAGGTTCCCTCTTCCAACTCTTGGGGTTTGTATCAGGTTCACACTGAAGCTAACTGTGACAGTGTTTGTAAATCCTTCAGCCTACTTTGATCATGGGAATTATGCCTGTCTCCTTCATCATGATTGATCACTTTCCTGGGTACCTTAGTCAGGTTGGCATCACTAGTCTTTCAGAACATGTAGTATATCAGCCCAAACCCTTCTGGTTTAAAATCTCTATTGAAAAGTCAACCATTTTTAAAGAAAGACAAACCAACTGTTATTCTGATGAGCCTCCCTTTATATGCAATTTGGCCTTTCTCTCTTGCAGCTTTCAATACCCCTTCTTTGTTCTGTACATTTAGTGTTTTGATTATTATGCATCATGGGGAATTTCTTTCTGGTCCTGTTTGGTGTTCTGTGTGTCTCTCACACCTTCATAGGCATCTCCTGCCTTAGATGTGGGGATTTTTCTTCTGTTTAAAACCTTTTCTGTGCCTTTAACTTGATGTTCTTCACCTTCTTCTGTGCCTCATTAAGAGGTTTTGTCTTTTCGTATTGTCTCATAATTCTTGCATGCTCCATTCATGGGATTTTTTTTTTTTTTTTAGATTTATCAATGTCTTTGACTGAGTAATCCGGTTCCTCGACCTTCTCTTTAAGTCCAGATATTCTCACTTCCACTTAATAATTCTGTTGGTGAAGCTTTCTCTTGAGCTTTTTGATTTACTAAATTTTTGAAGTTTTATTGCAGTTTGGGTGTTCTTCTGAAATTCTATCTCTTTATTAAATTCTATTTTCATAACTTGAATTGTTTTCCTTATTTCATTCAAATGACTTTGTTTCCCTGTTCTTCGTTCCAGCATTTATTAAAATCCTCTTTAAGCTCCTTGAACAAATTATAGTGGCCATACAAGATCTGTTGTCTTGTATTTCTCAGAGAACCTGTTGTTTTTCTCAGAGAACATTACTATGGGATATTAATGAGGGAGACATATTGTCTTGATTTTTTGTGCTGTTTGTGTTTTTGTGGTGGAACCTAGGCCCCTGGAGAGGTTGTTGGTAGTGTCTTCTGGTATGAATATCTATCCCACCTTTGTTGAACCTGTGTTTGGATCTATGTTACCCTTACTTGTCAAGTTTTGGATCAGTTGAGTGATGATTGAGGTTCAGTCTTGGGGTCACTCTGTTGATGTATGAATGGAGTATCAGAAGAGGTCCTGGATCAGCTAGGGCAAGGTACAGCTTCTAGGTATAGATATGAACCCTCCATAAAGTTAACTGGTTCCTAGTGTAGATCCTCAGAAGTCTTTCTGGTGATCAGGGCTCAGGGAGCAGCTGCAAGAGGTATTCAGAGACCCCTACATCACTCTCAGGTAGCCAGCAATGGGGTCAGTGGAATGGGCAGTGTTACCTGTGTCAGATACACTGGGCTCTGTGTGGTTCTCAAATGGCTTGAGCTAAGGTCAGTGAGGTGGGAAGTTTTAATTTTTCTTTAAAACAGAAGACTTTCCTTTTGGCAAGTAGACTGTTTATAAATATTAGGGAAAAAAGTAGATTTTTTTTCTTTGTAACTATCTCCTTGCTGTTATAAAAAAATATAACTCACATAGTAAGTTGAACTTGAGCTATAGCATATTTGATGTCAAGTTTCTCAAGTCCATGTGAGACCCTCCTGTTCAGCCCAAAGTTCAATATACTATTTATTTCTGGTTTCAGGTTTCTGGGAGAGGAATTTCAGGCATGCTGACCATCTTCTCCTTGTTGGAGTTCAGCATAGCATGTACTACGGCCCATTTTGCCAACCAAACCATCATCTGTGCCAGCAGGGTAAGTTGGGTTAGTCTTTTATAAAATAGTCTGAATACATGCTGGAGAAATACAGGCTTGAGTAGCTGCTAGACCCCAGCATGGGCTCAACGCAGTGCTCTGTCTTTGGCTCTGCTGGGATGGAGGAGACCAAAGGGACTGTGCTGACAACACTGCTTGCTTTGATCCTTCTTTCTAGTCTGTCCTCGTTGTTCCAACTGTGTTTACAGCCAACCCTTTGACACAAGAATCTTCCACAGTTCCTCCCAGATATGGTGGCCTCCCAGCTTATGCTCCTAGACCCTAAAAGACAAATGACCATCGATACAATTTCATGGGGTAAAACGTCTCTGCAACAATCTCATAAGAAGCTGACTTTTGCTGTCTATGATGCTTCCAGATCTAGTCAGAAACAGTGTTTGAGATTTGTTTCTGAGTTCAAAGCTAACAATAACTGGATCTTCCAGTCACTGTCTCACTCTGCTTACATCACTGCACCCTGGTAAAGGTGAAGAACACTATGAATATGACTCTGTGACTCTTTTAACATTAGAAGTCTTCCTAGTCAGAGCTGGAGAGATGGCTCAGCGGTTAAGAACACTTGGTTGTTCTTGCAGAAGACCCAGGTTCAAATCTCAGCACCCACATGGCAGCTAACAACTGTCCGTAACTCCAGTTTCAGGGGATCTGACAGCCTCCTCTGACCTCGATGGGCATTGCATGACACAGGTGCACTTATGTACATGCAGGCAATACATGCATACACGTAAAATAAAAATAATAAATAATTTTTTTATAAAGTCTTCCTATTCATGTTACCTTTTCCCAATAAAATGCCATTGGGAACATAAGCCACTTTTTAGTATTTCTTTACATTGCTTCTGGTCCAATACTGGTTGTATAAAACAAGATCTGATGGAGGGAGAAGGCTGATGAAGTTTATTGGATGGTGGTTATCTAGAGTACACTCAGGTTTTTCTTAAAGTGATGTCTTTCAAGTCACTTGAGGTTTTTGAGGCAGGTGTGGCTGGAGCCAGGGGAACGGGCTCACAGCTTCCATTACAGTGTTTCTTGCAGTTGAACTGCTTTGTCCTCAAGGTGTCACTGGAGTGTTCAAGGCAAATAGAAGACCCCAAAAGATGGTCCACTGATCACCAAAAGAAGGGATGCTCAGTTGACAGCTTCCGCCAAAGGCAACTGAGCACAGGGAAGGTTCAGAAAAGTGTGAGTGAAAGACTCAAACCAGCCAAGCCCCCAAGAACTTAACTCATTTTAAGGAAAAGCGTGTGTTAACAGCTGCTCATGGTATTTAACAGTGCTACAGAACTTAGCTACTTAAAAATTTCATGTTCACTAAAATCATTTACAATAAAGCAACAGTAGAACAAGGATTATGAATTCATATTTGGGATTTTTGTTTTTGTTGTTGCTTAGGTTTGAGCTTTTTTTTTTTTTTCAAGTGAGATGTTGACATGTTAAAAAACCAGTGGCAGCAATCCAGATCAGAGTGAAGGGATGGATGACAGTTTACATTTCCAAAGGTCCAAAGCTCAGCCAGAGGACATGGCCTAAGCCATGAACCAGGGCAGTTTCTCAACACAGCAGAAAGAAAAGAAGGTGGTGTTGCTATAGAGGGCTACAGGGAGGCAGTAAGAAGGCTCAAATGTGATGATGGCCCATGTCACTCTTGTCAAAGTGAGGTCACACCCAAGGTGTAGGGCATAGACAGAAACAGAGCCTTAAATAGAATAGATGAGGTTTAAGTGTCATGGAAGTGAAGAATAAGCCGATAGAAAAGGAGGACTGACAGGCGGCACTGAGGGCATATTCAAGGGGATGGGCATAAATCTTCAGTTCAAACACTGTTTATAGAGAAAGCACCTATTTGATTTCACCTGCTAATACAGTCTTTCTAGATGGTATTATAAAATAACAGAGGACTCTGCCACAAAGAAGACATCTGTACCGCCCTTGTAAGGCTTGGGGAACATTGTAGAGGGCAGAAAGAATTAAGAGCAGGAAGGTGACTATGAAATGCCATCTTCTGGGTGTGTTGCAGTCATTTGAATCATGATCTCAATGCAACTGGCCTTGCCTACACTGAGCCTGCACAAGAATGGGCCTAGCAATAGCCAATCATGGATGGAGGAGGAGCTCAAGGAGCCCTATCGCCCTCCCCACTGAACTAGTGAACACTGATGGATTCTAGGAAATGGGGCGTTGTTGCCATCACAGACATGTGGGGAAGGGAGGCGATGATTGATGGAGGTGGGGGCGAGACAAGGGCAGAGAAAGGGGGGAGTGTCAGGGATGTATTGTGTATATGTATGAAAATGTCAAAAAACAAAGTTAAACTAGGCAAGGAAGCTTATGAGATTTCAAAACACGGTCTGTGGAATCTAAACTATTATGAAGCACAAGTAAGACGGTATTAGGGTTAGATGAAAACAGCTTGAAATGGCCAAGGGTTGCTCTTATTTGAATTTAGGTGAGAGTTACGTCATTTCAAGGTTCTTAGCCCGCCTCAGTCCCAGCCATTTAGCAACACGGGTGATTAGGAGTACTGTGTCCCTCACCAGGGCGCTCAGCAGCATAGCAAAAGTGAAGGCATGTCTTGTGATTTGATTTCTAGTAATTAGCTGGTGACCCTCAAGTCTGGGAAAGTGATGTAATGCACATCTAGATATAAACAACTATAAAATTAGCACTTCCTTTAAAGAACAGAATTATTGTCAAAAAGTTGACTTTAAAAACAAATGTATAATGTGTTTATATTTAAATTTGTTTTAATGATAGGAACAACAATAATAGCAAATATTTAGCTTGCTCTACGCACATTCTAAACACTAAACATCAGCATGTTCGGTACAACAACCCAGCACGGTGAGTGACTAGCATCACTTTCAGATGAGAACACTTCTGCAGAGAGGTTTATAAACTTTCCCTATGACGTGGCTAACAAAAGTTGAGGAGGGCATGAGACAATGTTAGATGGAAATAGTTTGAAATAGGACAAAGATTATCCATATTGGAAGTTTTTACATTTAAAAACTCAGGTGATGGTTGGATAGATTAGATTACATTATTAGATTAGATAGATATGGATATGTAGATATACATATGTATATAGGTGTAGATATATATAAGGAAAAGGAGAGAGAAATTAAAACTATGAAAGAAACAAATGGGAAAATTTGCACATGGGAAAGAACACGAATTATGTCAGGTGAGACTTAGATACGTGAGCAGGATTTGAACTCAAGCAGTCTGGCACCCAAGTCCACACAGTTTTCCTGATCCACATTTTTACTGCTTTGGATACAATCAAAGATTTGAATGAGGCTCCATAACAAATAAGCAAACAAACTTTCTTTATGTATAGGAAACTTGTAGTATGTTTGGAAGGATCTGGCATATCCTCTTTAACAGTGGTAAGGAATTTAGTAATATTATTACTGCTTCCAAGTCTTGCTTCCTAAAAGCTACCATTTCCTATGACTCACTCCTGAGAATCCCCTACCTAACACCTAGAATGCCAAGTAGCCTCTCAACCCCCAGCTCACCAACTCCTCTTTGTACTGGGTAATCAAAAGATGCTAATAAAGTTGGGTCTCAAACATCTAAGTTTTCTAGTTGTGGTTTTCAGAGTATATGAAACAAGATTGTGTACTTCAGCAAGTTAAACAATGCTGTAAACATAAAATCCTTATACGGTCATGTTTCTATCTAATTAGAAGCAATATGCATCCATTTGTTCAACAAGCTTTTATTGAGTTCCTGCTCTGTAGATAGCAGTGTTTCATGTGCCCGAGAAAAATCAGAAAATCTGATCTTTGCAAGCTTATACTGCATAAATTTTAAGCCTCTCATGGAAAATAAAATCAGGCAAGTTTGAATATAAATATTTAAACTTCTAAATTTTCTACACATGAACCTGTTATCTGATACCTGAGAAGCTGTCTGAAATAGAAATATTGTAACCCAATATAGAAGTTACATAATTACCACTATTTTCATTATGGAATATCTTTTTAAAAGCATTCATTTGTTCATTTAATTGATTAAGAAATGTATTGCCCTACTACTTTCCAGTCAAACACCTCTATGTAAAATTTGGGTTTTACATACCTTACTCATCTGAATTAATATAAAGTGGAATGGACTGGGCTTGATGTAAATGTTGGTGCACACCTATATTTTTCAAACACAAATAACTAAGGCAGGAATTGAGTACAAAGACAATTGAGCACAGGAAATATTACTTCTGCTTTACATACACACACAACACAGGGAAACATACACATATGCACATAAACAAGACCCACAAGACAGACAGACATACACATACACACAGAAACAGGCATACACAGACACACACACAGACACACATATATACACAGACATACAGAGACACAAACACACATAAACAAACACACACACACACACCAAGACCCTCCTTCAGCCTACAGTTATTGTTAGGTCTTTAGGGTCTCAATTCTAAATTCTAAGGCTTTAGAAAATAAATAACTAGAAAACTTCAGGGAGCTGGGGCTGGAGAGATGACGCCGCAGTTAAGAGCACTGGCTGTTCTTGCAGAAGACGCAGGTTCGAATCCCAGCACCCAAATGGCAGCTAACAACCATCCATAACTTCAGTTCCAGGGAATCTGACACCCTCTTCTGTCCTGTGTGGACATTGCACAACACAGGAGCACTTACATACTCGAGGCAAATAACACTCATACACTTAAAATAAAAATAAATAAATCAAAAACATTAAAAACCCCACTGTTTACATAAAGCACCTGTTTTCTCCTGTGCAGCTGTAAAATGAAATTTCTCATAGCAACTCAGAACAGATATTTTATCAGGGCTTACACCCAGCAGGGTTCTTGTAGTGAGCCTCAGCAGCAATTTCAAGAACACTGTATGGCAAGGTGGTTCCAGTACATTCTCTCTTACTGTCTTTTGTATACTGGGAATCAGTTCAAGAGAAGTTAAAAATATGACCTAGATCACCCTACCTTGGGCCTAGTCCCCTTTGTACTGCCAGAGAGCATCCAACTAGCTATTAAGAAATGGAAACAACCTAAATGCCCCTCAACCAATGAATGGATAATGAAAATGTGGTACATTTACACAATGGAGTTCTACTCAGTAGTAAAAATGAAATCATGAAATTTTCAGGTAAATGGATGAAACTAGTAGCTGATGTACTAAATGAAGTAACACAGACGCAGAAAAATAAGTGATGCATGTTCTCTATCATTTGTGGATCTTAGCACCAAACCCTTATATGTGAGTATATAACCTGATGTAACCACAGGAACCAGGAAAATGGAAAGGAGCCATGAAGGTAAAGGGGGAAAAGAGGCTCAAGAGAGGAGGATACTAGGAGACAGGTGTTATCAAGGGGGAAATGGGGAATTCTTTAACTGGAGAGGAAATACAGAGGGTTATACAAGGGGAGAGAGAGATAAATAATGCTTGCGCAGCGTGAAAAAAAATGGAGGGAAATGTATTAGTTCAAAAGCCTACTGAAAAAAATACATACAATCTACATATAAGTGCATGTGTATAGCTGAAG